CCTCATACCCCTTGGCAGCTCCACCGTCAAGGGTGGTGAGGGGGGAGGGACACGCAGCGCGGGCAGAGAAAGATGCCCTCCAAGACTGCGTGAGCCTACTGTGCACCTCCGGGAAGAAGGGGATGAGAGGCTTCGAAGGCTTCGCCTTCTGGTCCTCTATGTAACACCCATCTAGTTGGTCCGGCCGCGGATGTACGGCTAACATGTCCGTTTCAGGATCCGTTTTGACGGCGCTCGCTTGCCCAGAGGGGGCGAGCGGGTCTGGATCCTCGTCGGACAGTGAAAGCCCACCCTCCGATGCCGCGGAGGACATCTGGTCTCCGGTGTCAGCGAGCGTGAGAGCTACCATCTGGTTAGACGAATCACTCCCAGTACCCGAAGCTTGGATGGAGCGCTTGGAGGAGCGGGAGGTCCGCGAGCGGAGGATTATCTCCCTCTGAGACCATCAGATCTGCCCGAGCGCCCGCTGCAGAGCAGGAGGCAACTGGGGTGGCTCACTCTCTTACGAAAGATAGCCGCGATCTCAACTGCACAACAGTCATGGCATCGCAATGACGACATGAACCGCCCCCGAGCATCACATTAACATGCTGGACCCCCAAAAATGTAATGCAGTGATCGTGTCCATCATCCGGAGCCAGGAAACCCCCGCAACCAGAAACGCACAGTCGGAGCGCCATCCTGAAAAGGACGTGCTGCATGACTGTGTTGCTCTTTTAGGAAAGCGAAAGGGATGGTGTTTGCTCGTGCCAGGTGTGCTTATATGCTGGGATAACTGGCAGTGAAGCACACCTGCGCAAGCTTACGCTGCCAATTCATTGCTTTCATTGGCCCGTTCAATACTCTTTCAGACAAGCGGCTTCTGAACGGAATCCTCCCATACGTGGATTTTCTAGATCAAATCCACCTATAGCACTGGAGTTGCGACATGTAGTTTTTTTTTTTGAGAGGTGCACGTCAGCGATGCCGACGGCCACGGTGTAGGGCTATGCGTCGACGCCTAGGCTGCGCCGTTGCACATGCGTGCGTTTGACGCAGAAGTATAAATCAGCCTTTAGTTAGGGAGCTGATTAATAACCCAATGGTCACTCTGTCCAAGCTCCAGCGTTCTTCTGTGGAGAGAGGAGATCCTCACAGAAGGACAACCATCTGTGCAGCAAACCTGGCCTGTATGGTAGCCACTCCCCACCAGGAATTTGCCAAAAGGTATCTGAAAGACTCTCAGGCCAAAAGAAACAAAATTCCAGTCATTACAATGCCAGGCATTACATTTTTTGAGAAAAACAGGCACTCATCATCACCAGGCTAATACCATCCCTACAGTGAAGCATGGTGGTGGCAGCATCATTCTATGGGGATGTTTTTCAGCAGCAGAAACTGAAAGACTTTTTAGGATAGAGGGAAAGATGAATGCAGCAATGTACAGAGACATAATGAATGAAAACCTGATTCAGAGTGCTTTTGACCTCAGACTGGGGACGGCGCTTCCTCTTCCAGCAGGACAATGACCCAAAGCACACCACCCAAATATCAATGGAGTGGTGTGAGCTAAATCCTATTAAACATCTCGAAGGAGATCTGAAAAAGGCTGTACACCGTCACTTCCCATTCAACCTGATAAAGCTTGAGAGTTACTGCGAAGAGGAATGCAGGAAGACAGGTGTGCCAAGCTTGTGGCATCATATTCAAAAAGACTTGGGGCTTTAATTGCTGCCAAAGGTGCGTCAACAAAGTATTGAGCAAAGGCTGTGAACACTTATGTAAATGTGTGTTTTTTTTAGGTTTTTTTTATTTTTAATAAATTTGCAACAATTAAAAAAAAATCTTTTTTCACATTGTCATTATGTGGTATTGTGTATAGAATTTTGAGGAAATAAATGAATATAATTTATTTTATAAGGCTGTAACATAAAAAAAATGTGGAAAAAGTGTAGCGCTATGAATATATTCCAGATACACTGTACTGTTAGTGCTTGAATCAATCAGTTGATCATGCTTTGTCTCTGTCAAATTTGATCCATCCGATGTGTTGTTTTTAAATGGAAACTGTATCCATGTCTTGTCCTTTTGTCAGGAGCTTCAGAAAAGTACTTTCCAAAGTGCCTTCTCAATTTTTTCAATCTGTTTGATAAGCGCTATTAGTTCATTTTTTTATCCAGTCATGGACCTCGTATCATGAGCACACAGCCCGATACATTTTGCCTGAGGTATGACATATTCTCCCTGTGTTGGCGTGGGTTTCCTCCGAGTGCTCTGGTTTTCCCCACAAGTTCAAAAACATGCGGTATCTGTGAATGAGTGTGTATGGATGTTTCCCAGTGATGGGTTGCAGCTGGAAGGTCATCCACTACATAAAACATATGCCGGATAAGTTGGTGGTACATTCCATTGTGGCAACCCTAAATTAATAAAGGGACTAAGCTGAAAAGAAAATGAATGAATGAATGAATGAATGAATGGCATTTTTGGAAAAAACTCATTAATTATTTTGAAAATTTCTGAGCTTGTTGTGAATTCAAGCAGCTGTTTGAACAAAATAATTTTCTGTTGAATTTTTTTTCCCTTTATTTGCATTTCCAGGGCTCGGGCTCTGTCGATTTAAAAGTTTGAGAACAGCTCAGCTTAATTACAGCTCATCTCTGGTGATTATGGTCATTATGGTAAGTTTTGTTGTATTTGTTTAAAGAGAGAGAGAGAGAGAGAGAGAGAGAGAAAGAAAGAGAGAGAGATAGAGAGAGAGTGAGAGAGAGAGAGAGAGGGAGAGAAGATTTGTAAATGTTTTTAAAGGCTATTCTTATACACAAAGGCTGCATAAAAATACATAGCTATTCTTATGCTGTTTAGTTTACAAAATGTATACAATGGTCTATTTAAAAACAAAAAAATAAATAAAAAGAATTCATTTTTAAAAATAATTTGCTCTTAATTGTGCTCAGTCATTACAAATAGTTCTAATTAATTTCAAAAACAGAAAAAAAGCTTCATATTTCGTGAAAAAGTAATACATTTGACTTTTCTAGATCTTTTTCTAGATTAGACTTTTCAAGAAATTGATGAATGCAATTGTTATGCAATTTATTTATGGTAAAGCACAACTTTTTGATCCTCTATGATCCTCTGTGCTTAATGATTAAGTTTTTTAATGTATCATTTTGCAAATTTTTTATAGAAGCTGTGACACTGCCACAGAATAGGAGGGATGAGACCATAGGCAGTGAGGAGAATAACAAGTTTATTGACAAATGTTTGAAAGCAGCAGTATATGAATAGTAAGGCTTATCTGACTGTCCTTAGAGTATCATACTGAGCAGAGTCCAACAAAGAGATATGGAGAGCAGAATGCAGGAATGATTGTCCTATATAGCATCAGTGGTACAGTGGAGATTTCAACATCCACATAGATGACACTAATGACACATTAGGACTTGCATTTACAGATTACAATTACTTGGGATAAAGCAAAATGTTGTTGGTCCAACCCATCGTTTACACATACATTAGACCTAATTTTATCTCTTAGAATTGAGGTCATTATACCACAAAGTAATGACGTAACAGATCACTACCTAATATTATATAAGCTGTGTATACCTGAAATTAGCAAATCTGCACAGATACATTGCCCTGGTAGATTTATCATTTTGCCCGCTAAAGACAAATTTATGAATAACTTTCTGTTCTTTCTCTATTTCAAAGTGCACCCACAAGCACAAAGAAACTTTATATAGTAACTATGTAATAACAGTATGGATGCTATCTTCAATAAAACACTAAATACTGGGGCACCCATCAAATTTAAAAGGCTAGAGAGAATAAAACTACACCATGGTATAACAATCATACTTGTACATTGCGCTCTCAAAACACCAATTTGTACACTTGAATGTAAGTGGAAAAACAAAGTAGTTAGAGGTCTTTAGAATTGCATACAAAGATTGTATGTCCAGCTATAGGAAGGCTCTAAAATCTGACAGGGCTGAGCACCTCCACAAACTGATAGAAAATAACTGTAACAATACTAGATTTTTTAAACACCAATGCTATACTAACAAATAAACAGATTTTGATGAAATAGAAGGGTTCAGACTAATTCAGTTACTAACTCATTAATAACTCAGTCTTCCAATGCAAATGTATCTGATTCCAGAAGATTTTTTATTTTATAGATGTCCCCATTAGAACCAACCGCCATTCGAATAGGGCTACAGAAAAACCATAAAAAGATTTTTTTGTTCCTAAAATAACTGCTGTTTGCCACTCTAAAGAATCTTTTGTGGGATGAAAAGTTTCCACAGATGTTAAAAGGTTACTCATGGAAATGTTGAATAAAAAAACTTGGTAACACTTTACAATAGGGTTCATTAGTTAATGCATTTACTAACATGAACTAGTCATGAACAACACATGTACAGCATTTATTAATTATAATTGAACATTTAATAATGCATTATTAACATCCAAGTCCATGCTTGTTAACATTAGTTAATGCACGATGAGTTAACATGAACTAACAATAAACTACTGTATTTTCATGAACTAACGTTAGCTAACATGAATAAATACAGTAGTAAATGTATTGTTCATTGTTCATGTTAGTAAATGCATTTATTAACATTAAGTAATGAACCTTATTGTAAAGTGTGACCAAAAACTTTGTTTTACAGTGAAGGGTACTGCAAGGTTGAGTTAATGGTTAACATATATACCAAATAGGAGAGGAAACTGAAACATTTAATCTTTTTTTTTTTCTCCTGAATTGTTGTTTACTCACTTGAAAATGATTAATACTCACTCACAGACATTCCTTGGGTTTTTCTCTGACTTATCAGCGTCAGATATGTCAAAGCGCTTGTCTGCCACAGCAGAATGAACTGTTTAATAAATGTTCCCATTTTTTTTCCTGATTTATTTTATATATACAAATTAGTTTAAACCAGATGTATTATGTACAATTATAAATTATAATGTTTTATGTTTACAACAGCCAACATCTAAATATATAACAAAATATTTATTAACACAATTGCTAGTTTACATACACAAATACAGCATGTAAAATATCTTTAAGAGATGCTTGAAGATCTTTGAAGGCAACCTTTATGGTGGCTTGAGAAAGCCTGTTGGAATTGTTCAATTAATGCAAAATAGTTTCAAAAAGTTTGAAAAGTATGATAGATAGATAGATAGATAGATAGATAGATAGATAGATAGATAGATAGATAGATAGATAGATAGATAGATAGATAGATTGCTAGCTTGATTCTAGCATGAAACAACATGTAAACATGATTCTAGTATAAATTAACATGTTACTAGCATGTTTCTAATATGAATTGGCATGTTGCTAGCATAATTCTAGTGTGAATTTGCATGTTATTAGCATGATTTTTGCTGGATCTGATATTGGCCAGCTGGTACCGATCCAAATCCGATCTTGTGCTATATTCTGTGTACTTTAAAGCCTACAAAAGCAATAAAGGTAGCCTATAAGGCACTAGAAAGTTGTTCAGTGCTTCCCTGCTGCGCCTGTTAATCATTCTTCATTCGTTCACATTTCAAACTGCTTGTTGCATTCCTTTATGACAGCCCGAAAAACTTTCTCCTAGACTATTTGTTCATATTAGTTTAAATAATCAGCTGATTAATGCATTTAGGTTTACATTTAATGGGTTTATTTTGACCTGCAAAAAGATTCAGTGCTGTTTTTAAATCATTTTGCATTGTGCATATTAGATCAGCAGATCACATTTGCAACACTGGAGTAGAGAGGGAAAAAGGCTCAATAATACATTGGATAGACCCTCAATGCACTGATTTCCTCCCTTTGTGCTGCTAAGTTTTGGAAGTGTCTGTAGATACGAGCTGCGAGCTGTGTCTTAGTTATGCATTAAGACTGATTTACACTCGATGCGTTCACAGTAACTGGAACATAATTGCAGTGTTTTTGGAGGTTCACTTTGGGTACATGTTGCATGATTTTGGCTGGCGGAGCGCACATTATTTAAAAAAAACTAAAACAAACAGTCAATTTGAGTTGAATATTAATCACTTTTGAAGAAATTTTGCCTGAAACAGGTATGCCTATTCAGACATTATTATGATCGGGCCATGAGTGATCTTATGTTTAACCAAAATGGCAAATAATTCTCGGCTTCAGATTGCAACAGCAGTGGAAAAGGAGGACATTTTTTTTGTTAAAAAATTTAGAAAAACTTGAGGCATAAGTTTGTTGAAACCAAAAAGAGAAGCCATGGCAAAAGTGAAGAACCATGTGGTTGTAATAAACAATTACTGAATATGTTTTTCCACCATTCATAGGTTTTACACTAATGTATATATATATTACAATTTTGAATGAAAAAACAATTTAATAATTACAAAACTAAAAATGAATCAACACATTATATCTTTGATAACTGGAAAAGAATATTTGATCCTATCGGTTTACAATATACTGATGCCCTATTTTTCTAGGCTTTATTGGTGATAATTATCAGCTGTGTTAGACCATTATTTTTAGTAAGTGTACCTTTTTATTTGCTTTTATTTGTAGAGCAACCCATGTTCTGTTGTTATTAATATTTTAATAAACTATAAAAGGTAGAACTGTCTGAGATCTAAAAAAAAGCAAGTGACTCATCACAATTTGATTTAAAAAAATCTTAGTTATAAAATTCTTTATAATAATTAAAATTATTAATAAAAATAACTAGTGAAAATAGTTGTTTTACAGTTAGTTTCCTTTGACTGCCCACTGTCGTTTTAAAGAATATAACAATGGTAAAGGCATCAAGTACAAAAGCCTTGTGATAAAATTTTCTTGAGGTACGCGCACAGTCAGTGGAGTATAAATCAGCATTCAAGCACTTCATTCATGCACTAGTTGTGCAGATGCAATGTATGCCGCTCATGTAAAATTATTCTCACAACGAGTTTCTGTTTTTACATCCTTCTGACTGAGTTTATTCTTCAGAGGGGAATACTTTTAGTGCTGTGAACAGTTTGTAAAGCCTGGCTCATTGTGGTCAAAGTAGTTGATTAAATTAATAAAAGTGAAACTGACAGGAGGATTGTCATTTACAGAAAATTATTCAGCCTAATATAGGCTACTCTGAAACTGTGAATATTTCGCTGTAATTTTATTTATATTAATAATTTATTAAACAGGCCAGTTTGTGTTTTGGCACTGAAGCCTATAAACGGACCTTGCTTTGAACTTCACCTAAAATCTTGTAAATTTTGCTTATAACTGACCAACAAAAATACATTAAAATTAAGATTTTACTTAATTTTTTAGAAATTACTGTAGTCCATACGGTTAATCATTGACTAGTTGTTTTCTGCTTTGTGGTCCTCTTCAACTGGCTTTTGATACTACAACAGTCTCGCATGTGCTGACTCCAATGCTCTTTGTGTGAATCTAGAATAATTTTGATCAGGAATAAAGCGAAACTTAGATTTAAGGTTCACAGGCATAAATATGATAACATGACTGAGTGTGCGAATAATCATTCAATCATCCACAGCGAGTTTATCTTCATCTAATAGTATGTTTAATCACTAAGGAGCTATGGAGATTTTTAGTTTAAAAATGTCCCCAAAATAATTCACTACTATCTGAATGGGGCAACTTTTTTTTGCTTGTTTATAAATAGTTTTCCATAGTGCAAAAATTTTATTTTTTGTGGAAAGCAAAGTTTATATAGTTTTGGTCGCTCATAGTAGGTTGTTATGATATAGGAGAGGAAACAGAAACATCTAATCATTATTTTTCCTTTTTTTCTGAATTGCTGTTTACCCACATTCCACGTTTGGAGTGGAAATGATGGAAAAAGTTTTTCAGATGGAGTCGCTCTACCTCTAACCCATTCCCTAAGACTCTGAAAGAGAAAAATAGACAATTATGTAGATACAATAAAAATATACCATTCAAAGAGAAAATAAGATTTAAATGATCAAAAAGAATGATTTAAAACAGGTTTAACTGTTGTTTTCCCTGCACATGTCTTTTTGTGTACCAAGTTAATAGGGTCAGGTATATTTAGAACACAAATTAAAGCAATCTATCCAAGGATCACAATGAATCCCAAAAATATTAATACATAGTCATTCAAACTCTTTAAACTTTGCCTCTATTCAACCACAAAGTTTTAAAAATTTTGGCAGCAAGTTTTTAACATTTCAAATATATTTATATTTATCATAGTTTATTTTTCCTCTTTATATCTATTCTCACATTTAATCCACTATGTTAGCATTGTTCTTATGCAAGCATACACTTCTTTTTACAAGTTTTTCTAAACAATCTGGTACACTAATTGATGATTTAAAGAGCCCCAAGAGTAAAATATTCAGCTTAAAGGCTTAAATCTGAAAGTGCGCCATGTTTAAAACTACTGATTCATCTATAAAAGTGTTGTTTCAGAGTGGTTTAAATGAATCGTTGGGGTAACGAATCTATAGCGTGTTGGCGTGATGTGTACCGACTTCTTTATGGATTTAAACACGTACACAAGCTTGCGATACTATGCATTTTATTGTTGCTATGGCCACCATCAGCTGTTCCTACACACGTGCGGCGGTCAAGTTTCAAAATAGTTCAGCTTTAGCTGCTGTGTGGATTAACACTAAATGTGTGTCATGGTTAAAATAAAGCAGTATGGTGGTGTTTAACTGCACTGTTTTAATGCCCTCCTGCATACGGCTCACACATATACTCTGTAGTCTGACTACTTCAAAATTGTTGATAAGCCATGGCGGGTGATTCTCTCTGTTCTGTGCTGAACGCAGTCGACCATTTGCAACAGACTCGCTCGTCGAACCAATTAGCATTAATAATTAGCAGATTAAAATTGTGCCAAGGAGGGTTTTGGGAACAAATGAATCGCTGAACAAATCCTATGAGGGTCATTGGGATAATTAGGTAAAAGAAATGCATATTATAAGACAATGAAAGTGTTTTTTGACCTTGCAGCGCATATCATCCTGTTGTTAGAGACCCCCAAAACCAAAATATCAGCTTTTTTATTGCATAATAGGGGCTCTTTAACAAGTTTACCCTCATTCTGTATTTGGCAATGCAGTTATTCAAGTTATTTCTACTCACTCTATACACAATAAAACAATATCATAAAATGACATGTGTGCACATTGAAACACTAGCATATTTTTTATTAATTTAAAAATAACAGGGTTTACCGGTCTAGTAACTCCCAGTCTTCACCTCCCCATTTGTCCTTGAATTCTACGGTGTTCATGCCACCAATTCGGTCCATGTCGGACTTGTAGATTCCCATCAGTCCATAACCAGCAATTTCCCAAAAACCTGTGGAATAGTGTAAATATTACAATTTAACCAAAACTAAACTGATAAACGTTTATGTCCCAGTAAATTGAAAAAGTAGACAGTTAATGGCCAGGTCATATCTAAGATAAAATACCTGAATCATGATACAATCACCTGGAAATTTACCAAATATTTAGTCTTGTTTTCTTAACAATTAATCAAAGATATTTGGCTAAAAACAAGAAAATTGCTTTAAGTTTGTTCTTTTAATCACCCACTTAAAGCCCTCCAATTTTAGTTTTTAAGCACCCTTAGGATTTTGACAACAATGACCAAAATCACATTCAACCAAATTGTTCATATAATACATTTCCTTAAAAAGGCAGGTAAGCAAATATGTGCAAAAAGAGACCAGTGAGAATTAACAATTCAAATATCTTCATTGTCTGTGATTTTGCTTGATTCTGGTTTTTTCTCTGCTGTTCAAAGCCAAAATAAACAAAGTATATATCGCAAACCCATGTTTTTAAATATTTATTTAGTTTGGTCTCTTCTGCACTTAGTATTAATGTACATTTTCATGAATCTGACAACTCGAAACACAGGTATTTTTCGAAAGAGTCTTTTCACATAATGATGAAAAGTCCTGATCCCTTGCATGAAATTACTGGTTTTATTCCTAAACTTGTTTCTGCAATTCTGTACTTTTATTTTGTTATTATTGTAAAAGTTCAGTAAAAGGATTAAGGTAAAATAAATAAATACTTTTAAATGTATTTGCACACTAAAACGTTAAAACTGTAAAAACTATGTATTAAGAATTAATTATCTGAAGTAAATAATTCTGTACTTTTATTTTGCTGTTATTGTAAAAGTTGAATGAAAGGATTAAGTTAAATAAATAAATACTTTGAAATGTGTATGCACACTAAAATGGTAAAACTAAATAAATTATATATCAATATTTAATTATAAGTATTAAATAAAGGAAATAAAATAGTTTTACTTACATTTATCTTTTGGTAAAAAATAATTGGTAACTCTATAAAAGCTGCACGCTATGAATTATTTATTATGCATTAGCAAATAAGTTAAAAACATTAACTGTACATTAATAGACATTTGTAAGCAGTTTACAACTACAGCTGCAAATGCTGATTTCTTGACTTACAAGCACATACATAATGTGTTAAATTATTGTTTTTCATACTTTGAAAATAATTATATTTTCATTGCTTAAGTATGTATTGCATTATTTATAAAGTAGGTATTTAAGAGTTGTCGGAGGATTTTATGATCATTCAAAAGAGTGAAGGATTAAAACACTATTCAAATGAACATTTATGGATTTTATTTTTCTGGCAAATACTGTAGCAATAGTTACTCTCTTTGTTAATATATGCATTATTAAGATTAGTGTATTGTAGAACAAATAATGAACTGTAAAACTAAAAATCAATACCATTTGGGGTTCTTGGAGAAGCACCACAATCCAATCTCATCACAACAGGGGCATACACCATCTTTCCCTCAACGCAGTGTTTTCGAATACTGTTTATTATTGTCACTGGGTAGTAGAGATGCAGGTCACACAGAAACAAAATACTGTGCTCATCCTGAGGAGAAAAACAAAATGAAAACACACTTTATATAATACAGCTATTCAATGACCCAAAACCACTTCTATAAATAGAAAATATGAAACGTGATAATTTTTGAGCGTTAAAATGAGGTTACTTACTTCAACAAGGTCTATTCCAGCCTGAAGTCCACCTGATCTCTCAAAATTACCCCCCATCTTCTTCAGTTTGTAACTGTGTATTTAAGGTGTGCATGTCGACAACATTAGCCATATAACTTTTTGAAAAAAAAAAAAGTGCAAAAAAACAACAACTGTGTTTTACCTGGGTAATTTAGCCATTTCTAGTCGTTTCTCAATATTTATGTCAGAGCTGTTGTAATCTACAATTATTACATTAAAGTTTTTGTCCCCAGTTGCTTGGTATATTTTTTCCATTTCCCGAATAAACTGTATGATCCATCTGGCTTGATCTTTCACTGTTGGAAGGCAAATGAACATTACATTTATAATTTGTACACATGCATTAACAATAACTGATGATAAGCTTGAGCTGTCACATTCAGTTTATTAACAGTGCATTCACTTTGTACAGTTGGCAGGGCTTTTAAATTAAACATTAAAAGGTTGTATTATTACAAGATAAAAATATCAAAGATTTAGCTTAAAATACCCTACATTATTATTTTACCATGTTGTAAATCACCCATTTTTTGTGTCTAGAAGCAAAAAAACAAAGCAAAACAAAAAAAACTGCAGTTTTCCTTTCGTGTCTCTTTAGAGGGAAATAAACTGCTGCTCCCTATGTTTGCATAATGGGTATGGGCCTTGTGGTGCTCCAGTTATTAAGGCAAAAACAAAAATGAGAAAACTAGTTTGTTTTTAATTATAATTACTTTTTTTTAGCTGGGTTCACGTGAGGAATCAAGTATTTCATACAAAATTGCAAATAAATCAATGCGAACATGAGAACAGAGGCAGATTACCATTCTGCGGTGCAAACGACACAGAATATGTGATGCGTTTGCCGCGAACGTGTGGCATTTGCCTCCTCATGACTACTCTGTACCCGGAGATTTGTAAAATCTTCACCCTGGAAATAGTTTTCAGAAAGTTTCGGTTCCAGTCACAAGTCAAATAGTGCTGTTTTGAAAATACAATTTTTTTATGTGGACAGGGCCAAAGTTAAAATAAAGTTTTAAAATGCCGCACAGTTAAAAGACAAATACATATTGTTACTATTACCTGCAACAATTATGTGAACAGTAGCAGATGGATTCCAGTTGAAAGCTTTTGGACTGCAGAGAAGTGCTGGTTTTGACGAATTTTCATCTTGTGCATAAATGTAACGTGAAACAAGGACAGTTTGACCCTGTGGGTCCACAAGTTCCAGTTCCACCAGATAACGGCTGCCCAAGTCCTTGTCTTCACGCTTCACAACATTCACCACACGCAACAGGGAGTAGCCTCTGTGGAGATGAGAGAACATACGAAATACTATAATACCAAATACAAAATATATGTGGGACCACACATGTATTGTACTATCATGCTGCAACAGAAAAAAAGTGCTTATTCTGTCAATTAACTTGTTTTAAATACATTTTAGAGATGATCTTTAACCAGCTTGTAAAGACCATACAGACCTACCATACACTTTATTAGTTTCCCGTTTAACTGCTAATTTACACAAACATTTGCTGCAAAATTCGGATGGTATGGTCAGAATTTGGCAGCAATACATCAGGCTTGATATTGTCTTCTTATGATGACTGTGCAGATCACAGGTAGGAGACATCAAACAATCAATGAGACTGCCAGGATTAAACAAGACTTAAACATGACAGAGAAGCTCAGATCAAACCTGACCAATGACAGTACCCCTGCCCAGAGGAGCGACCCTGGCACTTCCAGGGAAAAAAAACTTTCAAGAAGTCCTTGATCAATGAATGGTCCAAAATACCTCCAGCCGCAACCCAGCTCTTTCCTCAGGACCAAAGTCCTCCCAATTGACCAAATATTTAAACTGACTGATATCTTGACTGTAAACACAGGAGCATTCTCAGCAAGAACAGGGTGGGAGGAGGGGGAAGGTTTGGAGGGTGTACGAATAATGGGCTTAATACATGAGACATGAAACATGGGATGCTTGTGTTGCATAGAATGGGGTAAACAAGTCGAATGGTCACAGTACAAAAATCTTGAAGATGGAAAAAGGACCTATGAATTTAGGTGCAAACTTACGAGACGGGGATTGCAGAGGGAGGTTGAAAGGTTGAGTAAGTAGAAAGCGGGACTTTCTGACAACAAACTTATCTGGAAGCTTTAAAACAATGAAGATTAGCATTGTCACATGTTCGTTCAAAGGTTTTAAGTAATGACTTGCATGCTTTCTGACAAGTGTGCCAACACCATTTAATGAAAGCTTGAATTGAGGCCACCAATGCTTCAGATTCCTGAGAGCAAAATATAGGTAGTTGGTATCCTACACAACAGTGAAATGGAGAAATTTAGACTTAAAGGTCTATTCTGTCCTGGCCCGTGCAGAGAACGTCCAAAGGGCATGTGGAGGATTTTTTAGGAAGAGCGGGGGCAGGGGCTGCTGCAGATCTGCAGAGTGGATGCGCGCATACTGATCAGCTGTGTTGTCGCGCGCATACTCAAGAGCGGTGTTGTCGCGCACCTACTGAAGGGCGGGACCGAAGGTGTGCCGCGTCGCGGGGGCACTTTTGATCATTTTGGAAGGGCACTTTCTATCAAAGACTAAAAAGGGCATGTGCACTGCACAGGTTGAGCCCTTTGTGTACACGTGCCTGATTCTGTCCATCCAAGATGCTTACACCATGACACAGAGTTGTAAGCAACCAGGGTGTGGAGTAAATGTCCCAGAATTTGGTTAACGCAATCGGCCTGCTTATTAGTCTGTGAGTGTAAACCAAATAACAGGCTGAAAACCAATCTGTCTACAGAAATCTTTCCAGAACTGAGACTCAAACAGGAGTGAAACAGGTAAACTCAAACAGCAGGATGACTGCACAGATCACAGGTGGGAGATGTCAAACATTAAATGACCAGGCAGGACTTGACAAGACTTAAACAAACTGGTAACAGTATGGCAAGAAGAACAACAGAATCTGTAATCACAATAACATGTAAGCAGGTGTTATTGTGGTGTGTAATGCAGCAGGTGTGTAATGTGCATGTGCCAGTACTGAACGTAAAAGCAAACAGTTGTAACAGAAAAAAAGAACATGACAGAAATCAAACCTGACCCATGATACTAGCTCAATGCACATGAACCAGTAGGTTGGGGAATTCATTGTGTTGTACTGCAATAAATTTTTTTTTTATTTCACAAGATTTTTTCAGGGCTTAACGTTAAGGATTTACTTGCCCTGCCATTTTTTTCTCTGATGCCAGTCAGTCTTTGCTGCTCTTTCCTTTAATAACAAACGACGGCCTTTTCCCACATTGCAGGGTAGGTTATTGTAACTATCATCAGAAAAATTATAGTAACAAACTCAGTTGTAAAATGAACTTTAACCCTTTATTCCCCATAGCCAAATCTCCATCTCTCAGTGATTATCATCCTCATGTCATGATCAGTATTGTGATCTCAGTTAGTGTTTGAATAGAAAGGCGGGTTCAGTTTTTACCCGATCTGGCACTTCACATTTGGTGATGTACTGTATTGACGTTAATGCGTCCAGGCAAAAAATCCAAACAAAGATCCAAAAAGATCCTTACCATCTTACTGCTAAAATTGAACTTCATTTGGTGGGATGTCAGGTGTTATTGTCAAGCTCTTGTTACGCATGTAAACATGGTTCACTGAAAAGGAGTGTGACACTTTGAGGATGCTGCTATGTGGCTGGTTCATGAATCAGCAGCTTGTGAAATAGCAGAACAGAGCGACATGACATCTGATGGTGCAACCACAAAGTACATCTGCACCAAGCAACAATATCTAATGATAAGCGTTCAACAGCATTCAAATTGGCCATAGAAGGCCCTAGCTGAGAGCACTATGTCCATTGGTTCTTTAGTTTTAAGTACATGTGCATTTGAGAGGTGGATTAATGGATTTGGCCAGAATAGCAGTCTCAGAGTCATCAAAAACTTTAGGAGGATTAACTGGATCATCCAACAAAATTGCACTGGTGGAGATTGAAATGTTTTATCTCACAGAACCCAATGGACCACTCAAAAATTTTTTTCTTGGTGCAACCTTCAGCCTTTCATTTTAAATGATCTACATTTACATTTACATTTAGTCATTTAGCAGACGCTTTTATCCAAAGCGACTTACAAATGAGGACAAGGAAGCAATTTACACAACTAAGAGCAACAATGAATAAGTACTAAAGGCAAGTTTCAGGTCTGTAAAGTCTAAGAAGGGAAGTGTTAGTAGTGTTTTTTTTTTTTTTTTTTGTACAGTTAGTGTGATATTCAAATAGGCAATTGCAGATTAAGAAGTGAAGTGGAGACTAAATAGTTGAGTTTTTAGTCGTTTCTTGAAAATAGCGAGTGACTCTGCTGTTCTGATGCAGTTAGGGAGTTCATTCCACCAACTGGGCAGATTGAGCGTGAGCGTTCGCGAAAGTGATTTTTTCCCTCTTTGGGATGGAACCACGAGGCGACGTTCATTCACAGAACGCAAGTTTCTGGAGGGCACATAGATCTGCAGAAGTGAGTGCAGATAAGAAGGTGCTAGGCCAGAAGTCACTTTGTAGGCAAACATCAGAGTTTTGAATTTGATGCGAGCAGCAACTGGCAGCCAGTGCAAACGGACTAGCAGCGGAGTGACATGTGCTCGTTTAGGTTCATTGAAGACAACTCGTGCTGCTGCATTCTGGAGCAGTTGAAGAGGCTTGATAGAGTTAGCTGGAAGCCCAGCTAGTAGAGAGTTGCAGTAATCCAGTTTGGAGAGAACAAGAGCTTGAACAAGGAGTTGAGCTGCATGTTCAGATAAGAGGGTCGGATCTTTCTGATGTTATAGAGTGCAAATCTGCACGATCGAGCAGTTCTAGAAATGTGGTCAGAGAAGTTTAGTTGGTCATCAATCGTTACTCCAAGGCTTTTCACCATTTTGGATGCAGTAATGGTTGCCCCATCCATCTGGATTGAAAAGTTATGGTGTAGAGTCGGGTTGGCAGAAACTACAAGCATTTCCGTTTTTGCGAGGTTCAGCTGAAGATGATGATCTTTCATCCAGTGTGAAATATCCAACAGGCAGGCTGAGATACGAGCTGGAACCGAGGGATCATCTGGATGAAAAGAGAGGTATAGCTGGGTATCATCAGCATAGCAGTGGTAGGAGAATCCATGTCTCTGGATGACTGGTCCTAGAGATGATGTGTAGATGGAGAAGAGAAGTGGCCCAAGAACAGAGCCTTGAGGTACCCCAGTGTTTAGATGCTGTAGGTTGGACACCTCTCCCCTCCAAGACACCCTGAATGACCTGTCAGAGAGGTAAGATCTGAACCATTGTATAACAGTGCCCGCAACGCCCAGTGACTCAAGCGTAGATAGCAGGATCTGGTGGTTGACAGTGTCAAAAGCAGCTGACAAGTCCAGCAAAATGAGGACTGATGATTTAGAGTCTGCTTTAGCCAGTCTGAGATCCTCCACGACCGAGAGCAGGGCAGTCTCAGTTGAGTGGCCTTTCTTAAAGCCGGATTGCTTGTTGTCCATGAGATTGTCCATGATTGTCCATGAGATTACACCATTGGCAAACATTGTCTTAGAGACTCACAGGTGCCCTAACACAGAATCCCAGCTTCGGAAGAAGCAACAGGGAAATGGATTAGATTTACATATGAAGACTATATTCCAGAAAAAGTGAGCAAAAACTTGTGGCTCTTATTTTGTAATTATGAATAAATCATACCTGGAAATCGTATTATTTTGATGTATTCCACTGTTATTTGTTTATTTATTATCAAATATGTCATTTTCACACAGTGTGGGGCTGTTATATATAATGATATATTTTTTTTCATTATTCAGGTACTGGAAGCACAACTATATCCTCAGTTCATTAGTAGAGACTCCAAGACCTGAAAAGGGTGTGTCAAGTAAAAGTGTGATACAAAGTAAAAGGTGTTAGCAGGCATCCAAAAAATGTAGTTGGCAACGACTGCTCTAGATGGTACTTTTACTTGAGTATGGCCTTTCAGTACTCTCTCTCACCACTGGTGGTTGCCAGACCAATGATTACAATCAACTTGTTTCTTTACCACTCACTCAGAAGATCCCAAAATTACTTTAAAAGATTGGTGACCACTGGTCTAAAGTTACATCTAAATTACAATCTCTTTATATAAACACAGAAAAACATAATGTACCATTATTAGTCAGTTTTGCTATATTTTTACAAAAAAATGGTAAGACAGGGTAGAGTCCATAGTTTTCTCAAAAACAGGCGTATGTAAAGAATATAATATTTAATATTAAAATATTTAATCCGATGCAACTTTTAAGAAAAAAGAGCTGAAAAAGAAGCTTAAACAATCTTACTGTGTGTCTTCTCTTGAATGCAGTGCTTTAAGAAAGGCTGTAACAATGGGCAGTGCTTGGCTTTCGGACATCACAATGTTTCCAGAGGTTCTGCAGGAATTTGCCACTATGGTAGTTTGCTTGGAAGCAGCATTGAGGGGATTCACATCATAGACGCGGTGCCAGAAAGGACCTTCACCTAGTTTGGGTTTGTAGAATATTTCAGAGCTACAAACAAACAAACAAACAAACAAACAAACAAACAAACAAACAAACATTTAAAAAAAAACAATTAATGTTACAATTATTGTTTTACCTTTATATGTATTTTGTACATCAGGGTCTTCAACCTCAGTCAGATAACCCTCAAGTCCTTTACTAAAATGGTAAAAAAAAATGTTTTGCAATTAACAAAATTAGTTTAAATTATGTGAAAAAGTGAAACTTGTGCATTTGATATTTTACAGCAAATTACTGCATTCATACTCTGCCAGAAATGACGGATCTTGTCTGTAGAAGCACATTCCATCATTTTGATCATTAGTTTGCCGTGTGTAGTCATTTGGATAGACTGAAGAAAACTGAACCTACAAGAAAAAGAATGATGTATAGTATGTATAATATTTAGCAATTTTATTGCAACTAAGTAATTTGATATTTTGATGACACTTTACAGTTCATTAATCTAAGTCAAAGATCATTTTCAATTATTATTATTATTATTGTTAAATAATGTTAGTTCATAATGTATTACCTGATGTTTAATTGTAAAATGTTTGAAGTGTGTTTATAAATTACTTGTATAGTGCACATAGGCATTAAAAAACTATATATCAATAAAATATTATTTACAAGTTGTTACCCTGTTTTACTGTAACTTATTAAATTAAACTAAACATATTTAAACAAAAGCTTGCTGTTTTAATTTAGTTTAACAGAAGTTACATTATTTGCAAAGAACATTTTGAACTTAAAAGTTAAAGGTAGTCTTTTAAAGATATTATTAATGTTAGGAAATATTATGTGTTTATACATTTTTGTTGCTTCAATTCAATTTGTATTTTTTTTCTCAGTAAGCAGAACATTTTTTGGTTAAAGGATATTTTTTGGAAAGTGTTATCGAAATTTGCCGTTATATTCAACAACTCAATTAAATACAAACTAGATGTGTTCCAGATGTGTGTGATTTTTTCCAGTCCTGTTCCCACCTTCTCTTGCTGGGCTTTATTCTGCTCCCAACCTCTCCCACTATTTATTCACTCTTTATTCACCCGCTTCCCAACCCGATTGCTCCTGTTAAATTTAAATCTTGTTTTTTTTACAATTAAATTTACAACACATTTAAATCCACTACTGAAAGAGAGGGCTAACAATAAAATAGGTTTTTAGAAAAACTATTTGTAATTTTTATTTGTCAACAATATGGTTTAATATCCTTTCTCTGTCACCTCAAAAAGAAAACTTACAATAAGAAAAACATTAATATGACAAAATTTAAGGTTTAAAATCATTCAAGGATGCACATGCACACTTTGCTTTCTCATATATATTCTGCTACTTCACTCATTGACAACCTGACTGTTCTGTCTGAGCACTATTATGCATATGCTGTAAGCACAGCCCTACAAGTAAACCGCATGAAGCAGAAGGCCCTGGTTTATCCGTGCTGTGTGCTTATACAGTAATGACACGCCTCCTCTGGTGTGAAGCTAACTTAAGTAAAAATCCAATTTCAAGCACAGTTATGCTTTCCAAGCGCAATAGCCACCAATCAAATAATAGACTATAATGTTCCCAAGAACCTTTCAGGAAAGCAAGGTTCTCGGTAACATGATAGTCTATTGTTTGATTGGTGGCTATTGCGCTTTATTTGGAAAATTAATGCCATGTCATAAGAAACTTTGTCGGGCCCTGCGGGAATGCAGACCTCTCAAACGAGGGTTAATATGATTTATTCTGCTATTTACCAATTGTTAACATTAGCATGCCATCATTACCTTTCATGTTAGCATGCTAAGATTAGCGATTTCTATGTGGTTAAATAAATCATTGTTTGCTAAGCAGTTTGCTACCAAATACTCAGCAAAAATTATTGTAAAGGGTTTAAGTGCAGAGAATAAAATGCTTAACTCACTAAATATACACCTTGATATCTACCAATGTGTTCTTTGAGTACATAGCTTGGTTTGTAATCACATTCAGGAAACAAGTCCTTCAGGAATGATTCTTCTAGCATTTTGTCTGGTTAAATAGAAAGAGAACAAATACAATTAAGTTGAGGCAAATGTATACTTAAAAAAATCTATTAAAAATGAAGATAATGCTCACATTTGTAGATGTGATCTCTTGGGTCTTCTCTGATTATTTCTCTTTGATGAAGTGACAAGGGATTTGGCTCAAGAAACCTATCATAGCTTGCTTTCGTTTGAGGTACATGCTCAATATCTCCCATTAGTAGAGAAGATTCATCTGACAAAAACAAAATATATTATTAATTCAATAGCAATGCAATAGCATGAACAATTGAATACCATGACCACACTCATTGAGCTCAAACTTTAAACTTCAAACTTTAAACATACCTTTATATAATGATAAATACTCTGAGGTTATCACAGAAAAAGTGCTATTGCCTTGGTTTAAACTCCACTGCAGAAGAAAAACAGAATCTGGGATAAACAAAATATACCATGTCAAGCTTTGCTGTCTTTAAAACACATAAATACAGTGCATACCGCTATTTCCAGATGATCCATTCCTGTATTCTGTTTTAAAAGAACTTCAAAAAAATATTTCCTGTCCTTCACTAACCTATGAAACAGAAAGAAACTTTAAATTATGTCATGTGTGAGGTTCTACAGTGTTTTGAATGAGAGCACGTTTTTGAGAGAAAAACTAAAATTTCCCTTACAAAACAGGTTTGGATATTTGGGTTGCAAATTTCCAATACTCGCCAGGAGCAGTCCATTCATTTCCTGTCTGAATCAGAACACAAGTATGCCACATAAATAATCAGTTTAAGCAAATATTTAAGTTTCATTGTTTGCTTTAAAAAAACTTCTAAAGAGTACTAAATGTTTATATACAGTGTTCGAAAATGTAAACAAAATGTTATAGAAAATTGTATTATATTTAAAAATAAATATTTTTAAATAGTTTTTATTATCATATTTCAAATAGAATGGAAACATTACATATTCAATTCTAAATCGAAGTATTAAAATATTTTAGGAATTCTGTGTATTTTTACAGGAGGCATATAAAATAAATTTTAAGCTGTTAAAAGTTTCAATATACTCATAATACCAACAAACTAAAGGTTTAGATTTTAATAATTTCGTTGAAAACTATGTTGCATCATGTTAAAAAAAAAAAAAAACTTCTACCCCCCAGAAACAGGTATTTTAGCCATAACAAACAAACTATGCCCCATTATTCCTGTGAATTTTGGGTTTTACTGCAGAAACTGCTCTTTTAATGTCAGTTTTCAGTTGGGTTGAGTTCAGCGGACTGAACTGTTTATATAAAGTCCTTTTTACCTAACACCAAGATGTTGTTCATGTACTTATGTTAATTGGTGGTTGGCCTTTAGGCCTAATTATCATAGTTGGTCTAGTTCAAAATTCATCTGCTAGAGTACTTTCTAAAATATATTAAAAAATGATCTTATTAGTCTGATTCTGTTAGCATTGCACTGGCTCCCTATTGAACATTGATTACTTTCGTAAGTCTTATGGTGGCACGGCAGCTCACTGGCTAGCACTGTCGCCTTACAGCAAGAAGGTCACTGGTTTTAGTCCTGGCTGGGCCAGTTGTCATTTCTGTGTGGAGTTTGCATGTTCTTCCCGTGTTTGCATGGGTTTCCTCAAGGTGCTCCAGGTGCTTATACCAAGGTTTACATAATCAAAACAAATGGTTGTTTTGGCCATTGTTTAGTCAAGAACACAAGACTAATTCCTGCAAAGACCCCAGTGACATAAATCTCTGTAGATCCCTACGGCTAATTTGAACAACCTTCTGGTAACCTGTACAAAAGGGGATAATCATTTATCTGTCTTCAGGCATCTTAGACTGTAGCTCTGCCGTTTGTTTGGCCAGAGGAGAATTGGTCAACCTAGAACCGGGTTTCTTCCAGGATTTGTTCCCAACTTCTGTCATTTGGTGGACTTTTGGTTCCTTGCCTCTGGTATGGTTAATTCAGGTCTTGAACTCGCTCTTCAGCCCTTTATCCTTTAACATTGACATTTGTACTAAGTTTAACTGAATTAAACTGAACCAAACTTCAAAAGTGACTAATTCTATGTATTACATTGAACTTGGAAACATTTGACATACTATCAATAAACATCAGACTTTATTTTCACTAGTCCATGTTTCTCTTTGAGCCAGGAAATGCATTCCTGGCAAGTTTTAACCAATTTGGCTTATTCTGTTTTTTTTTTTTACTTTCTTATTAGCATTGCTGTAATGATCTGGTTTGAGATGCCAACTGCATTTGCGGAGTAATGGTGCAGAATCTAATTGCCTCCTAGTGGCCTGAAGGACATAAAAGTGGGTGAGACCTTACAAGTGGTGTTTTGTTGGGGCTTCTTGTCAAATATCTTCCAGCTGTTACAGTATGTACAGTTCCTCCATTCCCATTCCTCCTTGTTTTTATTCATGTTTTAGTTATTGTTGCCACTTTATGGCATTTTAGATACTTTTAAATGAGCATCCTATACTTTATTGCACATCTTTATATATTTTTCCTTCACAAATCAACTTTTTACATCAATTATGTTGGTCTTTTGAAATGTATGGAATGACCCATTTCATGTTAAAATTTTAAAATAAATATAAATAATAAAAATCTAATACATTGATTCAGTTAAATTCATCTTTATTACTATAGTGCTTGTACAATATAGATTGTGTCAAAGCAGCTTGGCTTAACATAGAAGATTATAGTAAATTATAATCAGTGGCAGTCCAGTTTTCAGAGTTTAAGTTCAGTTTAGTTCATTTCAGTGTGTTTTAATTTTCACTGCTGAGAGTTCAAACACTGAAGAGCAAATCCATCGATGCACAGCTCCACAAGTCCCTAACCATACATGTCAGTGGCGACAATGGCTAGGAACAAACTTCACCAATTTGCATGATGACCTTCCTCTTTAATAAAAGGACCCTTAACGACCCTGGTTCTTTTTCACAGAATAAACTAATTCTCTAATACTCTACACACTCCTAATATTTTGAACACATGCCTATTAATGGATTAGCCAATAACATGTAAATAAAACAAATGAACTGCACACATGGCACAACAGGTGGATTTGTTGTTTTTCTATGGCATTACTATATTTACAAGTAAATGATTTGCAATGCAAAAAAAATTACTGTTGCTAATAACATTGGAAGCCTTTATTGCTATTTAACCATTTTTAACTGCATATAAGAAAGATTGAAGAAGACAACCATTTGGTATTTCTATATAATTTATAATTTTCAAGTTTAAAATGTATTTTAGTTATTTTTAATTTTGTCATAATTGTATGTATTTTGTAAGGAATTAATGAAAATGAATCAAATTTAATTTCATAATTAAGAATTATGTATCTCTTAGTATTTGTCATGCCTTTTTATTTTTTTAGCTCATTATTTAATTTGCCACAATATAGTAGTTGGATTTAGGTATTGAGTTTTTTTACCTTCACTTTTTATAATAATAATAATAATAATAATAATAATAATAATAATAATAATAATAATAATAATAGTTCCTTACATTTCTAAAGCACTTTTCTGGACTCTCAAATTACTTTACACATTGGGGGATGTCCTGATCCACCATCAGTGTGCAGTATCAAACCTGGATGATGCAACACCAGACTGCACACCACACACCAGCTGGTGAAGAGGAGACCTTGGATGGTTAGGAGGCCATGATGGATAGAGGCCAGTGGACAAATTTAGCTAGGATGCCATGGTTAAACCTCTATTCTTTTTCGAGGAGTTTTAATGATGTCAGGACCTCGGTTTAACTTCTCATCCGTTAAGATCCGCTCACCCAGTCAGTGAGCAGTTTAGAGTACCCGTCACTTTACTGGGGCATTAGGACCCATACAGACCACAGGTTGGACGCCCCCTGCTGGTCTCACTAACACCACTTCTGGCAGCAACCTAGCTTTCCCATGTGGTCTCCCATTCAAGTACTGATCAGGCACAGTCCTGCTTAGCTTCAGTGGGCAACCACGTGAGAGTTGCAGAGAGCTAGCTGCTGCCGGATTTTACATGTTCCTTGCCACTGTAACCTTTGGCTTGCTTGTTTCAGCACTTGTGGAGCTGTGCATCGATGGATATAAAGATGAATTTAGTTGAATTGGGTAAGATTAGGAATGTAAAGTAAGGTCATAATTTATAAGTGCTAATAAACAATTCATATTTTAAGGTAATAAGCTAGTAGTAAATGCTGTGAATCGTTACGTAAACTAAAGTGTTAAGAATTATTTTTTATCTAATAATTGACATTATGTCCTAATTTAGGTGTTTTTGGCGAAAATCGTGTGTTTTAATCATTATAAATAATTCAAATTTAACAAACCATAATTTTTTCCAATGTGGTTGCAAATTGCAACATTTATTCATGCATTTTTCATTGTAAACAAACTGTTGAATCCCTAGCAAACAAATTGACAGCAGACATTACCTCACCAACATAAGCAAGGAGTTGAAGTTTTTTTGGACTTTTGTTTAAACTGAGCCAGAACTCTGAGTTATCATCAGAGGCAACAGCAAAAATATATTCATCTGGTAATAAAACAACATCAATGGATTTGTTAATTCAATAATAATATATTATTAAACTCAGCATACAATAAAACTTTTTTTCGTCAATCTGGACCTACTGGTTTCTGCAGGATGAAGGAAGCCAAAGATTCTCAACCCATAACTGTTTCCTTGAGGTGACACAGCAAGTCTGCTCACTGAAGTTCGCACCTTTAAAGGGAAACATTACATTATAATGCATGATGTACTGAGAATGATTTTTCTTAAGAATTTACAATTAAATGTGTATAGAACTAACATTGGGGAACAAAGGATAGAGAAGGTTGTTCCTTAGTTGGTCAAGAGATCCACCACAACAATCTTCAAAAACATGCATGTTCACCCGACCCTGAAATGAAGATGATTAAAAATCAGTTTGATGTTATAAATAATTTTTTCTTGTCTTTTTCTCCAATGATCTTTAAATTCTTCACATATTATTTCTGCCACAGTCATGACAAATATAAGTTTTTGTTGTGAATCTTTAGTTAACATGAGTAACATTTAACATATAAATAAAAAGCATTTAATTAATCAATCAACAATTTGATATCATGTTTTTAGCATGTCACTTAAAATTAAAATTATGTTAATAATTACTCAACCTCATGTTGTTCCAAAGCCCCGATACCCTCATTTATCTTCAATACACAAATTTAGAAATTTTGAGTGAAATCTAAGAGCCCTCTCATCTTCCTAAGGTTCAAAAAGGTACCAAAAAACATTCTCAAAACCAACCATATGCAATCAGTGGTTCAAACGGAATAGTGTGAAGCTATGAGAATACTTTTGTTTGCACATAAAACAAAAATATTGGGTTTATTCAACAGTTTCTTTTCTTAATTGCCAGTATATTGCATGCATCCGCAAGCACTGTGCAGTGATATATACCCCAGGATGTCTGTGCATAAATCCTTCTGTTTTAATGAAAGATCAGGGGCATTCTAGATAATATAACATAGGCGTTGCACACTCTATACTGGCACTGAAGAGAAGAAAAATTTTGCTCAAAGCTTAACAATGTTCCCATTGAATCTCTGTAGACATTGTTTGTTTAAAGGATTGTTTTGGCACTTTTATGGACTTGTTTTTCAACTTGTCGGAGAACCTCTATGGAGAATAAGGGAGCTCTCAGCTCTCAGAACTAAAATATTGTCATTTGTATTTGGATGATGAATGAAGGACTTGTAGGGTTCAACATGAGGGTGAGAAATTAATAACTTAATTTTCATTTTTGGATGAACCAACACTTCAGTTGTTTTTAGAATTAATAAGATTTAATATTACTAATACTAATGATATATTAATAATAACATTTAAAATTTGTATATAAACATTCCCTCTGAAGCCTCTTATTCAGGGGTCACCAAAGTTGTTCCTAGAGGGCCAGTGTCCTGCAGATTTTAGCTCTAACCCAAATCAAACACACCTAAACAAGCTAATGAAGATTTTACTAGATATACTTGAAACAAGTATAGGAGCTAAACCCTGCAAGGACACCGACCCACCAGGACCGAGATTGAAAAACTGTGATATATTACTTCTTGCTAACAATGGGTTGTTCTTTAATCAGTTTTCAATTATAAACAAATGTTTGAAATGACCCATGAACAGGTTGTCAGGAAGATTTTCTTTATTTTTGTTCTGTAGGGAAATTTCATCAAGTTTCAAGTTTTTCTGTTCATTTTTCACATGACAGCCATATTTAAAACTTTTTTATTTTAGTAAGTAATTTGACAGTGACTATTGAAAAAATCATACATATTAGTATTAGACATTCGTGGGAATTAGTCACTTGCACTAGATCTGGGATTGCAAAGCAGGGTGAATCCGTCTTCAGCTATTACGCTCCTTGCTTCTGGAATCAGCTTCCAGAAATTATCAAATGTACTCCAACATTAGGTACATTCAAATCAACACAGAAAACACATCTGTTTAGATGTGCCTTTACTGAATGAGCACTGTGCTACATCGAACAGATCACACTATTTTGTCTTTCCTTTCTTTTCAATCTTTTAGAACCTGTTTTAACATATTTTAATCTGTTTTTAATCACTCTTATTATTTCTCATTATTTGTTTTTATTTTCTTAAAGTTGTCTTATTTATTCTTGTTTAGATAAAGCACTTTGGATTGCCACTGTGTATGAAATGTGCTATATAAATAATCTTGCCTCGCCTTGCTTTGAGTCTTTCCCGCTATCTGACCTGGTGACCCAACTGTAACTTTTTAAACTTGCTGCATATGTCGGGCCATGGACATTGCACTGTTTTAAAGACACATTTCACTGTCATTCTTTCTACTGGTCTTATGAGCCTGCTGATAGATACCTTTAGCCATTGCACTCAACTGCTCTTTTACACTCGACTGCTCTTTCGGTGTCGCTGAACAGGCCAGCTTGGGGTATGGGTGCATTAAGAAAGTGAATTTTGTCACAATCATGCATATCAGCCAGGTTTAGCCAGAGGTGACGTTCCTGGACCACTAGTGGGGCCATCGTCCTTCCCAGGGCACGTGCAGCTGACCTTGTGATATGCAGAGCATAGTCGGATGCGGTGCAGAGCTCATGCATCAGGCCTGGTTTGGAATCACTCTTGTGCAGCTGGGTCAATGCTTGCACCTGGTAGCGCTGATGCTTGGCCATTGCGTTCAGGGCAGAAGCAGCATGGCCCTTAGCAGTGTAGGCTCTGGCCACGAGGGATGCAGACAGCTTACATGCCTTGCACGGAAAACAAGGCTGACTGCGCCAAGAAGAGGCACAAATTGGGCATAGAGGCACAGGACATAGATTGATCTCAAAGGCATGCTCAACCTCTGGAATTGTCTCATATCCCATTGTTGCTTTAATGTCAAGGGTGGTAAGAGTGGAAGTGCACGCAAATCGGGCAGAGAGTGCCCTCCAAGCTCACTGTGCACTTTCGGGAAGAAGGGAACAGGAGGCTTAGAAGCACTCCATGTAGCACCCATCTAGTCAATCCGGCCGTGGGGCTGGAGGGTGAACTATTTTTACACCCACATCCAAAGCAGTCCGGGAAAGCACAGCCATCATATCTGCCTCTAGATCCAACACCTCCAAGGTGGCGAGCAGGTCCAGATCCTCATAAGAAAATGACAGCCTACCCTCCAATGCAGCAATGGACATCTGGTCCTTGGTGTCCTCGAGTGAGAGAGCGACCATATGGTATGATGGAGTGCTTCTCTCACTCAAAGCTTGGATGGAGCATGCTGAGGAGTGGGAAGTCCGCGAACCAGAGGGCGGCGAATTGACCCCCACTGTACCCCTCAGATCTGCTCGAGTGCCAACCGACTTGCGGGGGACAACATGGGTGGTTTGCAATTTTGCAAGAGCGAGCCATGATCTTAGCTGCACAACAGACATGCCATCACAGTGATGGCATGCACTGCTCCCGAGCACCGCATTAACATGCTCGACCCCCAGACATGCAACTTAGTGCTCGTGCCCATGATCTATGGACAGGGAACCACCACATCCAGAAATTCACGGTCGAAATGACATCCTTAAAAAGATGCGTTGCACGACCGTGTTGCTCTTTTTATAAACTTGCTCTGATACAAACCGCTCTAGGAGAACTGGGCCAGAGAATACCCAAAGACAGGAGAATGGACCCAGCTCCACTGTGTTGTCACACTCTCTGAGACCGGCAGAAAACAGCCTGTAGATCGCTGGTAGCTTCTCTCATTCACTTTCTCTCTTGAAGGAAGTTGGAGATGAAAGCACCAAAGACTCTCTGTACCGTAAGGCATCTTTATACACAGCTGATTGTGATTGCTGCCAACTGCGTATGCTGACGCCGCCAACTCATTGGCATTTCATTGGCCCGTTTTATTACTCCTTCAAATGATTGGCTTTCTGGCAAAATCCCCATAGTGGAAGTTTTTCACGTAGTATTGGAGTTCCCCTCCTGCTGGGGAACTCAAGTGATTGGCATCGTTGATGGTAAAAGAGTCTGGCATTACTGTGACATTGTAAATTACAATAGAGAAGCTTTAACAACCCTAGAACCTATAATAAAGTTTAATAGTGAAATATAAATTTATTGGTAGTGAAATGTAAGTTTTAACTACGAAAAGGTTGACAATATATATATTTTTTTCATATAATTTGTTATACAAGTACAGTATGTGTCCAAACTTCTCTTTATATTAATGAAAGATTAAGAATAATCTCTCAAATTTAAGACATAAGTGAATTTTATATACAAACCTGATATGTTTTGTCTGCCAGTTCATCATCTTCATCCTTTTTTATAGGAAAGCCACAGAAAGAAGAAATTACTTATTTATTTTATCAATGGGACAATTGTTTTTTCTTGTTCTTTTTTTTTTACACAGATATTTTGTTTAGGTGTTGTACATGAATTGTAAAGTTGACAAACCTACAATTTAATGATGTTACCTCTGTCTCCTGTGTCTCATTGTCTGCAGCTGATTCTCTCTTCCTTATATCTTTGCTTAAATCCGTTGTTACTGGCACTTGACAAGGAAACGTATACAAAGCAGAAGAATACAAATACATAAACATTTGAATGGTCATTGCAGTTCCCCATTTAAGGTTTAAGCAATAAAAACAAGTAAATGGATGGAAGGGTTTGGCTTTTAAATTTGATTTGTTTTAATTTTGCATGCACTTCTAAATTACCATACAAATTTTAACTAAATAATTTATACAGATGAATAATGTTGATGATGGTACATTTAAATACTTTTGACTCACCCAAGAGTAATACATTTTCCTCATCAAAAGCTGTTCTTAATCTTATCTTATTTTTTGTTTTACTTTTTAACCTCAAAGGACACTTGCACAATATTTTTATCAGTTTGTACTAAACTCCTAGTTCATAAACGATTTGGTAGAGCAAAAAGAAAATAAAATCCAAATATTTAAGCTCAGATATTGAAGTTAATAAAAAAATGTTTTCTAATCTTCCAGTTGTTTTATCATTTGTGTGATATATTCACAGAGACTGCTATTCTTAACCTTTCTGTTTAAAAAAAAAAAACTTTTTTATTAATACTATTATTATTGTTATTTTTGCCCATGTAATATCTATAATTTACTTCGTGAGTTATAAGAATAAAATATGGCATATATACCTATAATATCTTACATCATTGTATTATGTCTCATATAAAATTTTAGACATTTTTAGACACATTAACACATTGAACAAATTCCTCGTTTCTTGCTTGCAATAATCTGGCATCCTGAACTGAATGATGTAATTTCATTCCACATCACAACGACTTTTTAAAACGTGAAGAAACATGAAACAGCGGTTAACATCAGCTATAAAGAGAAATGTAACTTACCAGCAGGTAATATTTTGTCTCTGGAGTACACATAATATGATCCCAAATATATGAATATATAAAAAAGTATGCATATGATAAGCAAATAAAAAAAGTAAACCATCAACCTGCGCTGGTTTAATGTTCTCAATGCCAACATTTTGCTGGACACTGAGGAACAAAATGATGTACAGAAGGCATGTCGTGTTTTACACCGCTTCTACGGAAAACCGGATAAACGAGATAGGAGTTTGTATGACAAAGATTAGTTGAATGTCCTGTTGGACGTACTACTATATTCAAAATAAACATGTAAATTTCTGCCGAGACCTGTGTCTGCGTAGGTAGAAATACTATGTTGATAAAACCAGGGTAAAATAAACGTAAAAGGTCAAAATGTTTTATAAATGCTGAATGATTTAGGGTGAGGATCACATGATTATGTTGAGCTCTTCTGAATTTTAAGTATTCCCATTGTTCCAATTTTTACAAGCTTGTTGCTGAATCCACAGTCGAGTGATCCTCCTTGTATAGACTGCAGTAATCTCATTATAACCCACAGTAGACTTTACACATAGCACTACAGTAAAATCCTTTAAAAGGTGTCTCACACACACACTCTCTCTCTCTCTCTCTTTCTCTCTGTATATATATATATATATATATATATATATATATATATATATATATATATATATATATATATACGGGCTTGACATTAACTTTTCTGATCACCAGTCACAGTGGCTAGTAGATTTCCAACATTACTAGCCATTTGCCATTTTCACAAGCCATAATTTTGTTGCTTGGAAAATATATTTTGTATTAATAGATATGACTTTGACATGCTAAAATGAATTGATTTAGATGTTGTGTTGTCCACATGCCTCCTTATTTATTTAATTTATTCCTGTTTGTGTGTGTTGTGCATGAGCTTGCTCACTGTGCATGAGCACATGGGTTGTGTCGCATTGCAATTAGTTTTTATTTCACATGACTTTTTTAGGGTTTAAAATTATGGATTTAGCAAATTTATCTCTGATAAATAATAAGAGAAATAATAACAGAAATAATAAATATTAACAAAATAACTGTAAGCAAAAGAAAGCAGGTAAAAACATAACATGAGTGATAGTGAAAGGATGATCACTTGCCTGAGAATAATTAAAACGAAAGCAGTGACTGCAGCTGCTGCGAATGTGACGCGGGGGAATATGGGGGGAGAGTAGGGATTAACAATTTATCCACAAAGCAAATCCGACTACGCCACCTGAGAAGTTTTCTCCCAGGAAATAGAAATTGGCTTAAACATTACTCTTAGGCCACACAGGTTCAGTTCTCATATGGATAGGCAAAAGACGTGAGTATAGTATAAAAGTACAAAATGTATTTTCAGAATTTGTGGCAGATTAAAATAGTCACATAAAATTCCCTGAACATTCTGCCAGCACCTCCCTCCAACGTAACTGCAGTAAATAAAAAAAAATAAAGAAAACAAATTTATAGAAGAACAACAACAACAAGTTATTACAAAGTAAATATGAAAATTAAATTAACTGGAGAAATAAATTGAATAAACTAACTTACAGGGCTGAGGTCACACATAGGCGGGATCACCAGTGCTCCATTGTGTTCAAAAAGCACACTTCCACACACACACACACAGACACACACACAGACACACACACACAAACACACACACACAAACACACACACACACACACACACACACACACCACTAGATCCACACACACCACCACCACCTCAAGATCCTGCACCCGTGGGACCTCAGTTCCTGCAAGGAAAATCAAATCAAGTCAATATACGTGATAAATTATACAAGAGGAAAACAAACAACAAACCAAACACAAGAAAAGAAAACCAAATACAGCTTCTGTAGTTTCGCTATAGAAAAGCAAGATTCACACAGGACACAAAACTCACTCTGTTGCACACTGAATCACACAACTAAACAGAGCAAAAATCACAAATTATATAAGCAATGGTAGCAATAGGAGATAGTAGTAGCAGGTTGTAGTAACTACAGCAGTAAATAGAGCAGGTAACAGTTAGTAGTAGCAGTTAGCAGTAACTGTAGCAGTTAGCAGTAACTGCAACAGTAAATGTAGCAGCAAGCAGATAGTAGTAGCGGGTAGCAGTAGCTATAGCAGTAGCAGGTAGTAGAAACTGCAGCAGTAAATGTAGCAGCAGCAGATAGTAGTAGCAGGTAGCAGGAGTAAACAGCAGGAGTAGTTCTTTCCACTAGAGATCTCAGAATAACAGAATCTTTCAAACACGACCGGAGTAACGTTACAGATGCTAGATCTGCATTTATAATCGCCCAGGACACCAGCCAGGAAAAAATTACTATGGAAATCAATGGATACAACTTCCCAGCATTCTTTAAAAAATATCTTCTTTTGTGTTTAACAAAAGAAACAGAATTAAACATGCTTATTACAAGGGGCGAGTAAGTGACAGAGTTGTCAGTTTAGGGTGAGCTATCCTTTTAAGCTGTCATGGCAACCATTGCACATTATGAAATAAGCACCACAAAAATAGGAAATATGCAAGCGTATTCCTAGCTTACCTTGTCATTGCTGGGGCTGACAGGCATTTAGCTGAAAACTTTCTAAAAGCATGCGATATACATTCAGCTCCAGCAACAGTAAATAGACAAGTTCACTGCATACTTTTCTCACTCTGCCGCTGCAGTGACGTAGTTTCCGGGCATGTCTTTTTTCTTTTTCCTTTGCAATATTTTATATATTAATTTTTTACTCAGTAGCAGATATGATTTAAAATGTAGCGAAGTACAATACTTTAGGCAAATCATACTTAAGTAAAAGTAAAATTACAGATTTAAAAAATTACACTAAAAAGTACAAATTCTCAAAAAAAACTAATTAAGTACAGTAACGTGAGTAAATGTAATTCGTTACTTTCCACCTCTGTATATATATATGCATGATCCTACCTGCTTGAAGTCTTTTTGTTCTCCTGTTCACTCCTTTTAAAGGAGTTATCTGATTTTGTCAAATATATATATATATATATATATATATATATATATATATATATATATATATATATATATATATATATATATATATATATATATATATATAAACACAACACAATACAAGACTGGCAAGATGTTATCAAAAGCCTCAAATTTTGGTTTATTAGCAAAGTGCCCAGAGAGTGGTGACAATGAAAGGTAAGTGGTGCTGGTGCTTCTGTCTTCTGGTGATCTGTGGTAGTGCTTCAGGGTGAATCAATGAGCAGTCTTGTTAGATCCTTCCATGTCAGTGAAAAAGCTGAAATAGAAGCATCAATTTGTAGAGAAGAAGTTTTCATGGCAAAATTTGGACAGCCTGGCAGCTAATCTTTAGTGATTGTACATTCCATTAGTAAGAGCTGTATTTGAAGGTTTTTCAGAGTAATAGCACAATTTTGATTAAAATATTACAATGCACACAGCATTATGCGTGACATGTCTCCATGTCACGGAGGTGCTTTGGGTAGCATGATCAGCTCACAGCAAGAAGGTCACTGGTTCGAGCTTTGGCAGTGTCAGTTGGCATTTCTGTGTGGAGTTTGCATGTTCTCAGACACAGATTAATAAAGGGACTAAGCCAAAAAGAAAATGTATGAATGAATAAATGTCTCCTGTGGGAACCGTCACTACTGTGGCGGTGACTTATAATGATGAAAGTATATTTGGGCTCCAGTGGGAGCTGTCTCTGCTGAGGCATTTATCTACAATGATGCCTGTTTATGTATTATGCAATGTATATGTTGGCTCCTGTGAGAGCAGTCACTTCTGTAACTGCGTTCACACTGAAGGTGGTGAGAGTGTCAAAATTCGCTACATTGATCTCACTTTTAAAGAGGCCATTTCAGCATATAAGCAAATCAATAACATTCCCACATAAAACGTGCTTTCTAGTGTGAAAATTATGCACATTTTTTAAAATTAATTTAACTATGGACCATAAAGTTGTTTCGTTTGTATAGCTTTGCTTCACCTACACAGCAAATTCATTGGTGTTAAATTTCAAGTGTTGAGGTAATTCAGAGTAAAGTGTAAAATTCTAGAGTTAGATCGGCGTTAGAAGCTGATTTGCCTCCTTGTCATTTAGAGTAACATGTATCTACCTTTGTAAAAAAAAAACCTGTTTTTAAGAAACAAATCATAGTGTTTGAAATCTCGCCGCACCCTCATTCACCTGGCCCTTAAATTAGTCAATTAGTTTAGTCCACTAGACAGAGTGAATGACCACAAATACGTGAATTCAGACACCTGCTGTTGAATACCTGCTGTTAACAAGCACAATCACTGAAGGAATAAGAAATTGAAGAAAGAAATAAAACTACAGACATAGTGTCACACTAAACCAACTGAATTAAAACAGAGGATTAAATAACTCCATTAAATAACAGCATTAGCAGCTTCACTGATTACAGTTTGACTGCATTTCTGTAAGAATATTTGACAATCAAAAGAGGTTTATTAATTTTTTTAGTTAAAATATTTCATTTGACCTCACCATCATGGAGATCAGAGACTGCTTAATTAAACTCCTGAAGCTTTACTCTTCTATTGTAATGTTTCTCTGACTGTTATAGCTGTGTTTCTAAAACGCATCAGTTATAGCAAGAAATGTCATGAGAAACTATGCTGTTCTTGCTTAATTATTATAGATAATATTTCATGTGTTTCATAAGTTAATTTATAAAAAAAATGCAAACATACTTGTATTAAAGCTGCATGGGACAATACTGCCAGCTGTCTGCTGCTCTTCATAGAGGTTCAACAAACAATTAGGATGTAAATAATAATTAGAGTGTTATGCACTAAACCTTCGAGCTCGAGCAGCTCATTATGACACAGACATCAAGAATCAGGATATGAACCTCAACCATGGTTGCTAAAAAGAAAAAAGCTGCATAGTTCATGCCGCAAAGCATGCTGGGTGCCAGCATAGCACAAAGCTCCCAGCATGCATTGCAGCATGAATAAATTGTGCAACTATATGTTCTTACAATCTTTTTCTTTTTCTTTATTTTGTGTTGTTTTGGGGGGGGGTAATATTTCAGTAGATTGTTTTGTTTATTTTTTGTTGTTTGTCACCATTATTGAGATTCAAAGACTAATTATTGATGTCTGTGTGTTTTTAAGTTTCGTCATAAATTAAACATTCGCATTGTGAATGGTATTTTTAAACCTGTTAAACAGTCATTGTTTGTTGAAGCTTTAGTGGTTTCATTAATATAAATTATTCATTTCTCACATAAATAATATGATATTGGATTAAAACACAAACAGGAGAGGACAACTTGAGACTAACTCTTAA